GTTATCATATCTGTTATGTCAGTGGCTTAAGACAACAGTCACTTGTTTACTCATTTAGCAATTTAGGCAGAGTTCAGCAGAGAGAGCTCTTCTGTGCTCCATGTGGCATCTGCTAGGCCTGGAACATCCAAGGATGGCCTCCTCTTCAAGTCACCTGTCTGGCACTTCAGCTATGCATCCTTTTTCCTCCCTTTGTGGCCTCTCCATGTAGTTAACTTTGTCTTTCTCATGTAATTCTTACATAGTTAGACTTCTGACGTGGCGTCTGGCTTCCCTCAGAGTTCGAGCACAGGAGCTACCAGGCCTGAACATCAGACAGCATGCTACTGGTCAAAGCAGTCACAAGACCAGTCCAGAATCAGCAGGAATGGAAATAAACTCCACTTCTTGACAGGGCCGTGGCAAGGTCCCATAGAAAAAGTGCATGTGGGATGGAGATAATTGTTGCAGCTGTCTTTGGAAACGTGATCTACCACTGGACCATAATAGGATTTACCTCATAAAGTCATTGTGATGATTAATTAGATAATGCAAACCCCTAGCACAGTACCTGGAACAGAGTGAGCAGTCAATAAATGGTATCTATTATTATCACTATAAAATTATTATAAACACTAGTATAGTAACCCCGAGTTGGCATCATTTTGCCACCTGACTTAAACCCAAGGGTCCTAACTTCTGGAACAAATGCAAAAAGAACTCACACTCACAACTAGAAGACTTAGGTGTAGTGGCATGCTGGCCATGCCCAAGACCCAGGGCGAGCTGTCTCTGTCCCCTCCTGGCTCTAGTAGATTAGAGCTCTGGTCACTGGGCCTTGCAGCCAAGCTTGGGAGCACAGACAGAGCTAGAATAGGTAGTATGCCCTCGTATAGCTTTCAAATATAGCAGAGTTCATCCAGCCACCCTGTTATTCTCAATCAGAGCAGCCTGTGTGCACACAAGACCCCCCTACACACCTGCACACAGCATGTATGAGCCTGAGGCCACTGAGCTGATGAGACTTTCAGCCTCCTTTTCCAACAAGGCATCATTTATATTGGTGGCCAAGCACCACCAATAATGGTGTCTGAGGCCTCCTGACCTCTGTGTCCAGTCAATTCAAATCAGGAATGGAATCCAAGACCAGAAATCACAGAAGGTCACTATTTTAATTTCTGGAGGGTTTACAATTCAAGGATGTCCCTTCAAATCTCCAAAGACTGGGGAATAAGTATGCCTCTGCAATCTTGGTTTGCTTGCTGGAGGTATGTCGCCAAGTGGGATGGGGCTAGGAGACCTGTAGCAGTGGCCTGATCACCGTCACTCAAGCTCAAGCATCTCTGTGAGAACCAGGCCAG